GGAGGAGAAGGGATTGCGGTGTGGCCATCCCCCCTGGGGGGTGATTTCTCGCTTTCTGTCTCTCTGTCTCTGTCTTTCTGGCGAGCACATGCGCCCTATAGCAAAAACCTCTCCAAAAAAAAAAAAAAATTATCAAAACAGCAACTGAATTGAAACTTGACTACAATCTACATATTCTAATGCATACACTTCAAAGGATATATTTTGTTTTCACTATTCTTTTAGGAAATATAGATTATTACGTTCCAAATCAGTTATAGCAATACTATGAGCATCTCTCTCTCTCCAAGAACAAAAGACTAATCTCACCACTAAAGACATATATACATATGTCTATGTATACACATGTATATGTATACATGTATATGTGTGTATATATATGTATGTGTGTGTATATATATATGTGTGTATGTGTATATATATATATATATGTATAGATATATAGATATATAATTTTTGGTAGTTTTTTTGCCAGGAACTGTGATAAACTCACACTTTTTTTCCCACCTAGGGTCCCTTGGATCCAAAGGTTAGCCATGATTTAAAATATATCTATGACCCTGAAAAAGTAATTATGACTGTCCTGTTTATAGACCTAACCAGTGATGTCTGTCCCAGTCGGTCTCTTGGTTCTTATGTACAGATATGGCACCTATAGTCTACTCTCATGAAAAGCCTTCATCCTCATTATCTAGACTGTATCAGCTGCAAGGAGCATCTACAACACTGGCTAGTTACCTGATTTACCAGAGTCCTGAGCCACTAAGCAGTCCGCATCAAGCTAGCCTTTCCAGGCCTCTACCATCATCGTCCTATTTGTATAAATGGTTCTGTCTCCACTCCTAATTTGAATTTCACTTTCCTTCTAGAGTTGAAATACTACTCTGCATCCGAGACCACATGGGTTAAGGCTCCAATCTATTATCGTGTTTATATCTATTCTCCTCTCACTGTCTATTGATTATTGACTGAGGTCTTGCTTTGAATCAGAGACCTCTTCCTCCTCTCTTCTCAATTAAAAAACTAAGCAACAGAAAGCTAGAGACTTGCATTAAAACTTTTCAAGTGTGGGCTCATAGTGCAGCAGTGAGGCCAAGGAACTACCCCCAACCATATACTTTTTTTTTTTTTTTTTTGAGAGAGGTTTTTGCTATAGGGAGCTTGCGCTCGCCAGCCAACCAGAGAGAGACAAAAAGTGAGAAATCACCCCCCAGGAGGGATGGCCACGCCACAATCCCTTCTCCTTCATTCTTCTCTCGGGATCTTGGGCACACATGCACATGCGCCCAGCGTGAGTTTAAGCCACCGGGTCCGGGACACGAACTGCAGTCGACTACATGGGAGTCCAGTGACATAGCCATTACGCTAACTGCTGGTCCCTCAACCATATATCGTTTGACAAGGCTTCCTCTCCATCTGTGATGGAGTCTCACCTTTTTGCACACTATGATTTGGCTTACTTATTACTGGCTTAAGAAAAAAATTACTTCCTTTGGGCTGAATAAATAAAAGAAGGCTCACTCAGGAGAGGGTGCTATTTCTGAAGTCAGGGGAGGAGGCATTTTTAGAGTAAAAATCAGCCAGTTCCCACAGAAAGGTGAAGAATGAAGATGGTCACTGTTGGATTTGGTAAGAAGTAGGTCATGGCGACAATGCAGAGGCTGGTTTCAGTGGTGTGTTGGACATAAAAGCCAAAATTATCATGAATTTTACTTTGAAGGCTTTTTATAGTAGAGAAACTCAGATAAGAATGATTCAATCACTATGAAATCTTTATTTAAACTTTTTAGCAACAAATCACATAGAAAATGTTCACCCACTCTCTATAGTTTCTCATTTTCTTTTTTTCTCTTATATATCCTACTTACCCCTTTTCATGTTCAACTATATTCCCAGTTCATCTTTAACACAGATATAGAAAAAAATACTCAGTAAAAATAATGAAATCTCAAAGATAAAAATAAACACACGTATCAAATACTTCTGGGGCCAGAATGAAGAAAGATATAGGGAGCTTCGCCATTTCACCCTAAGGAGCATGAAAATGTTCATAAACAACGGGGATGGAAAACTGACCTGTACAAAGAGCTGACCTTTCTTTGTCCTGAATTGGCAAGAGGATACAAATGGAAATACCAAACAGAAAAGATGTACAGGGTTTGTGAGAGGAGGGAATATATTATACAATTGTTAGGTGAAAGTCATTTTCTTCAGAAAGGCTCCTGAGAAGACAGTAGGCTGGCAACAGCAGCAGAGTTTTCTGAAGAAACTCTGCGATATGGACTTCCCCTTTGCGTCAGAGAAACAAGGCAAAGAATGTCCCACTTC